GTCAGTGAATGGACTGGTAGATCTTTCACAGATACTCAGGTAGAAGGTTATATTAAAGGGTAGTTTATATAGATAGGAAGGGAAGATAGCAGTTTACTATAGACCTTAACAGGTTAAGATTGTAGTGATCGGGGAAACATCCCCTTGGGAGTCTGTTCCACAGGGCAATAGTTGGCGGGAAGAAACTGTTTAAGTGGGACTTCTCGCCGATGGAATACGGAGGAAATATGGGTGGTTTGCTATTATTGTAGTTGCGGAATCAAAGAATGTAGTTCGCCGGAGCACTTTCCATGGAAGTAGCGATAGTGGAGTGGGCGACTCGTCATATCCCGCCTCTGAGAGAGTGTTTGGGGAGTGGAAAATAATTTGTCACCCGCAATTACTCGTAGACGCTTTTGGGCTCTATCGAAACTGGAAAGTGAGGACTCGGCAGCAACAATACTCCATTTTAGGCCTGGTCTAGCTCTTGTATACAGTCTCGGCCAACTTTGGCAGCTTTTTGGCGTTGATGAAAAGCAAAAAGGATCTCCGTCTCAGATATAGTAGCAATACTCCATTTTTGGTCAAATCTGACTATTATTACGATAAAGCATGGTAGAAGCGGTCATATACTTCGTGGAGCAGAACTATGCGTCGACTATTTTCTCAGCTATCGTTAGCTATGGATTGTATATAAGAGTTCCATTTGGGGTCTGAAGTGAATTTGAGTCCCAATAGATACCCAAAGCGCTGAGCCTCATTAACTGCTGAGTTCATCGTGACTGCAGAAAACTGCTTTCGATCTAGCATTGCCTTTACTGTACCAAGGGTAGACAACTCAGTCTGCTTTTTCTTTTCCAATCTAGAGCAAACGGAAAGCAGATGGATCTGTGCCTTTTCCAAGGGTGTCAGTGCTAACTGAACGGAAGAGACACGATATCCGAACATGTGTCTATTATATACGCCAATATCTGTTCCAATGCCTCGGCCGACATTTCAGGAAAACATTTACAGTGAATTCACCGAGAAAAGAACTCATAAGTTTACATGACACGTCCCCCTCCATCAATGCAGCATATCAGGTGCTCTTTGTACATTAAGAAGAAAGCAAAGAAAATATTGATTTTTGACTCATTTTCACACTTCTCGATTGTCATGCTATTCATATCGTTGATTACACCACCATTTCACAGAGTTCAAAGAAAACAACGGCTTGATATTTACTTGGCTAAGCCAGATCTATAACTAAGATGGAAAAAAAAGTGGGAAATTTTAATTTGGGTCGAATTTTTTTTTTAGCACAAGAAAATTGAATGTCCAGAGAGCGACTAAAGATGCCTGAAACTACCCGGATGTTAACAATTAATTTCGACAACTTTCCAAATGAAATGAAGTGACGAGTTGACAGCAGTAAAAATTCGTCAGGAAATACATTCTTTGTCCGTTCTATTCGATATTTAAACGTCCAAGCTAGAGTATTTATATGCGCATGCGTGAACCGGTCTGCGGATGTGATTTTGTGTAGTTAGGAGCACGTGACAGAAGACAATTGCATTTCAATTAATGATATTTTATCCTTCCTTTTTCCTGCTTTATTTCTTCTTTTTCTTTCTTTTTTACTATCATATTCCCACTCCTCTTCTTCTTCTTCTTCTTCTTCTTCTTCTTCTTCTTCTTCTTCTTCTTCTTCTTCTTCTTTCTATTTTGCATTTTAAACGTTTCCATTTCCGCTTTCGGTTCTTCATTCTGCCATCCATTGCTCTACTCTACCTTTTGTTTTCTTCTTCTTCTTCTTCTTCTTCTTCTTCTTCTTCTTCTTCTTCTTGCCCACTTTTTACACCTTTTCTTCATCAGCCCTTTCTTATTCTCTCTTCATTTTTCTTCTTAGTGAATTGCTCTAGCTTTCTCCTTTCTCTACTTCCTCCTCTTCTTTTTCTCTTTCTTTGGCGTGATTATTATTATATTCCTTCCTTCATTCGCTCTTCCTTCTCTCTTTCCTTCCTTTCTTCCTTCCTTCCTAATTTTTTTTCTTTATTATTATCATTATTATTATTATTATTTCAACTCTTCTACTTCTTATATTTTGATTTCTTATAAATTACTTTTTTCTTCGTTTTCTTTCTTTATCCTTCAATTTTCTTCTCCGATTTAGTTTTTTCTTTTCTTTTATTCTCCATATTTCCTTACACTGTCACCAACCATTTCTTTATATCCTTCTTTTTAACTTTCTTTTTCATTCTTAATATTTTTTCAAATAAACACCACCACCACCATCACCTTTCTCATCAAAATTTTTCGTTTTCTCTATTTCTTCCTTTTCTCTATTCTTTTCTGATCATTTTTTCCGCAATTCGAAATATTTATTAATTATCTACACTTTCTCATCCGTTCTACTCTTTCTTCACCTTGATCCTGCCCTTTTCATTTTGTCAATTTTTCTTCTATTCCTCTAACATTTCTCTTTATTTTTATTTTATTTTTATTTTCCCTTCTCCATTTTCTTTTTCTTCTTCCTATATTTCTTTGGCTTAAATTCTTTTTCCTTTCTTTTTACTTGGCTCACTTCTCTATCCACTCGTTTCCACACTCAGTTCTCCTCGTCTTCAAGGCCTTTTCGTGTACAATTCGTTTCTATCGAAAGGATCAAATTAACTTCCGCCACCGACTGGAAATTCAACAGTAACGCAATTTTGGTTATCTTTTAACAAAACAACATCCAGGTTGCCAGATTGCATTACGTGGCACTTCCAATTATCAGCCAGTATAAAATGTACCAAACCTGCTTTAGCAAGATGCAACGCTTTAAAGCTATTTAAAGCAGATTTTCTTACTTATTCGAGTCTATTTTAATTGATTCTTAATAAACGCGCGGAACAATTAAAGAAGAGTTATCTCCCCTTTTATAATTTTCTTTTATCCTATATACCAGAATTGTCTTACTACGGATCTATCTTCATACAACGGCCACGGCATGAGCGAACGCTTAGAGAAGTTCGGTTTGTTGAGCATTAAAATTGAGTTCAATCTTAACTAGAAGACCCATGCAGAATTCGCCTGTCGCTAGGTTTGTCTATCATCCGATTCACACTGTTTTTAAAAAGGGGTAGAGGTTTATCCCTTGTTTCTAGTTCAGGATTAGGGTTCTGGTTCCATCTAAATTCTACTTCAACTCTATACGTCTGACGTCTCACGCTAAATTCTGAAACTTTAATTAGTATGTTTCATTTTCTCTCCTTAGTAAAAATAGATAGGTTCACTTATCGTACGGTTCATACCCCTCCCCGGTTTTTGAACAAGGGTAGAGATTTTTCCGTTTTTTCCTGTTTAGAATTGGGCTTCTGGTTTCTTTCTGAAATCTTCTCATTGTCTTTCACTCCCAGTCCCCACCCTTACATCTAAGTGGATTAATTGATTAAACGAAGAGTAACACAACAATTGTTAACATGGAATAACATAAAATAAAATAAAGTCAACCAACCAACAAGAAGTGTATGGTAATGGTTAACGAAGCAAGTTAGGTCAACCATTGGTAGTGAATATATATATATATATATATATATATATATATATATATATATATATATATATATATATATATATATATATTATTTTTTACAGTATTTTTATAGATACAAAGATTTAAGTAAATACTCTGGATAAACAGTATTAACATCATGTCCGAGAAATCTCACAGAAAATTTGGATCCTCCGACAGGAATCGAACCTGTGTCTTACACGGAACAGTCATATTGCTTCACGCGCTTCATTTAGCTACAGAGGAAGTGTCTGGTTAGCAAGGTTAAATTACTGTTTTTAAACTACAAATTTCTAAGGAATTCTATCGAACGCTCAGATCTGCTCGAAGCCTATCTTAACGTAAACAAATGACGTCATCTTATAAAATAGACTAAGTACGACAATTATTTTAATAAATTTTCTGTTTATGCCTTATTTTTATAGACACATAAATAAATGTTATATAATATAAAACAGTTATAAAATGTTATAGAAAAATGTTCGATTCCTGTCGGGGGAGAAATATTTTCTATGAGATTTCTCAGACATTGTTTATTATAAACAGAGCATTTACTTAAATATTTATGTCTACATAAATGACGTATAACAATAAAAAAATGTATTAAAATATTTGCCGGAGTTTGTCCATTTTAATATTATTATTAATAATAATAATAATAATAATAATAATATATATATATATATATATATATATATATATATATATATTCCCTTTGATATATATATATATATATATATATATATATATATATATATATATATATATATATATATATATATATATATATATATGGAGGCCAATGTGTGAATTTGTTAATTGATCTTTAGACTATTTTTACCTATCTTTGTTCATTATTTATCTCCCCGCCTGAATTACAATATAGCTATTTCCGTACACCCATATCTATCTATCTATCTATCTATCTATCTATCTATCTATCTATTTCATATTCCTTTCAGCCAAAGAAATCACTCGCGGTTACTGAGTGTGAGAGAATATATGTAAAAGAAAAGATTAAGTAGAGAGAACAATAAAAGAATAAGAATTAAGAAATGATACTTTTGGCGATAATAACGGTTTTATTGATACAAGTTTTACTAATTAACCCATAGGTAGGGAGAAGTGGTGATTCATACCTTCCCCAAAGTTATTTGCGCGTAACTGATTTTGACGAATATAACGTTTCATAGGGAACCTTATTAGTGTTCATTAATAGAATCTATAAAGTTTATTATTTAGTTGATTCCAGTACCATTTGAGGCACGATGTGAGGAACATCATAGGAATGTCTCTGATGTCTCCGACGTGTATTTGCTGTCATAGTGTTTGTGTAATCAGGCAAATGTAGCATGCTGTTTAAATATCTTGGGCAATATTCTGATGTTTAGTAAAGTAGTTTCACGTGAAGTTTTGAAATGGAAGTCAGCTGTCGGATAAACGATTCAGAGCATTACATTACATTACAATAGTCACACATCCAAGTTTACAACACCTGGTATTTCCAAGTGGTCACCCATCTAGGTACTGACCAGGCTCTACGTTGCTTAACTTTGATGGTCATACGAAAAATGGTGTTTCAACGTGAGGTGGCTGTAAAACATACAACCTGCACATCCAACACCTGGTATTCCTAAGTAGTCACCCATCTAAGTACGGATCAGGCTCGACGTTGCTTAACTTTGGTGGTCGTACGAAAAAGAGGACAGCACTTATTATTCCTAAGCTGTCACCCATCTAAGTACTGATCAAGCTCGACGTTGCTTTCTTGATACACCTTTTGAATGATAAAACTCTCTACAGCATAATTAATCCATACAGAAATGTAAGAGGCTGTAATGAGGATCTTATAACCAGGTTTATAACTGGGTTCGATGCTTAAGTAATTTCCTCTTTGTCATAACCAAGGAAATTAAAATTATTTATAGTATTTACGGGCGGATTATTGTCCTCATATTTGTTGATGTCATCACGACGTTTCTGCCCTTGTACTCTCCGGCCTTCATCAGATGTTTGTCGATCCGGGTAACCAACGGGGAATTTTGAACTGAAATTCAGGCAGATAGTAAAATTATCTATGTATTTTTCCTGCTGACTTTTTACATCCATTCCCAGATAGCACACTTACTAATATATGAAATTATTATTATATATATATATATATATATATATATATATATGTATGTATATGAAAAGCCTTAGATAGATAGATAGATAGATAGATAGATAGATAGATAGATAGATATGAAAACCCTTAGATAAAATAGATAGATAGATAGACAGATAGATAGATATGAAAACATTAGTCAAGTCTGATACAAGGATAAAATGTGGATCGACATCATCAGAAAACTGACATGTCCTACAGAACGAAATCCAAGACCTTTGGTAGGCACGATTATCTGGAGCTAAAAATTGAGACGATGTCTGAAATATGGACGTTGATTCAGATCAGGAGTATTCTGCCGAATTTATAGATGAAAAAAAAACAGCTATTATTATTGGCAGAGTCAAATATTCATTTTTATGTTCACTTGTATGGCGACTTTATTCCGTTTAATAAAAGAATATATTCTGCCAAAAATAAACAATTAAAAGTATAGAAAATGATAAATATTTATTTCGCTAATGATAGCTATTCTTTGAAAAGGACGAAAAGCTTTCAAATAAATAATAACCTGGTCTCTATTGAGACTATTCACATCATTCATTCACTTATCACTTGCATGCACACACACACACACGCACGCATTATTATATATATATATATATATATATATATATATATACATATATATATATATATATATTTGTATATATATATATTATACATATATATATTTATATATATATATTATATTTATATATATATATATATACAAATGTGCGAAAGAACAGGTAGAGTAAAATTCTCTTATAACAAAAATTATATATATATATATATATATATATGTGTGTATCATATATATTATATGTGTGTGCGTGTGTGTTTGTGCGTGCGTGTATGTATGTGTGCATGCACGAGGTGCGTACGTGCATGCGTTGGTGTCTTTAAAAGCTACCTGTACTAAATTATTGAGTTTCAGTCTGAACTTTTAGGATGAGGAGTTATTATTTCTACTCGGGCTATCGTCCTCATCATTGTCATTTGTATAACAACATTTCGACCGTCCTTTGGCCTTCTTCAGCTGTCTTCAGTTAATTTTCAACGGGAACATGTATTTAATCGCTGTTTGCTGATTGTTTTCGTTCCACTGTTCATGACTAAGGAAATCCCGTCCTGTTATTATTATTATTATTATTATTATTATTATTGCTTGGTCTTGTTTTCATTATTCTATGTCTGCAATACCCACCTCAACGATTGAGCTCATAATCTGTATGTCAACCAAATTCATAAACCAAATCACTACGCCATTGTCACGTGGTACAAAAATTCGAATTTTGACTCATTTCATATTTTGGTAAATGAAATTCATTCGATTTGTATCCATGGATTTTACATTTGAATTAATTCTATAATAATTTCAATATTTTTCTGTCCCTATCTCTATCGACACACACACACAGACAATATGCAGGCCATGTGTGTTTTGCTTTGGTTTAACTATTTATATATGCTAGTCAGTAGTGCATTATGGGTAGGGTTCACCGAGCGCTTTCACCTATCCTTTTACCCATTATCACGGATTATTTTATTTCTACTTTTAACTGAATGTATGGGTGTCTTATATATGTATCTAGTGTTACAGTAATGCTTTAATTTTCCAAACTCGGTCAACACATTCATGGCCGTGGTCATAGTTGATGTTATATATATATATATATATATATATATATATATATATATATATATGTGTGTGTGTGTGTGTGTATTTCTTTATACATTATTATATTGGACATTTCTTATTTTAAATAGACACCAGATTTTTTACTTTTAGATCTAGATAAAGAAAATATTTTCCGCAGCAGGGATCGAACTTGCGTCCGACTTCGTAGAGGCAACTATCGTTTGATCTGGTATACTTTACTCTCGGCCAAGAAGGAAAATAATAATCATAATAAAGTATGAAGAAATAAAAATGTCGGATTAAAAATAAGTCCAATAATATAAATATATATATATATATATATATGTATATGTATGTATGTGTATGTGTGTGTGTATGAAAACAGAACTGTGAATTATTTCATATTTATTTATAAAGATTTTTATTTGTATAGTACTCATTTTATTCATATACAATCACACATTTTTCAGTTAAACACACACACACACACACACACACACACATATATATATATATATATATATATATATATATATATATATATATATATATATATATATATACACACACACATATATATATATATATATATATATATATATATATATATATATATATATATATATATATATATAGATATATATATACATACGTGTACTGTCAGTAATTAATGATACATTTATACGTAAACCTACATATATTTAACGTCTCGATATCTGTTTTCATATATGTTAGTGTTTGTAGATATTCTGATATATATATATATATATATATATATATATATATATATATATATATATATATATATATATATATATGTGTGTGTGTGTGTGTATGTGCCTGCGTGTGTGTGTGTGTGTGTGTCTGTGTCTGTGTGTGTATGTGTGCAAATTATGTTTGTTAAAGTATACATGGATTATGTTTGCCTATGTGTGTGTGAATTAAATTTTAAATGTCCGAATCTGAAGACAGATATCCCACGGGAAATGTCGATTCTTAAAAACACATGCTTTGGATTTTTCTTACTTTTTTTTTCTTCAAGAATTCGTCCACAGTTTAGGAATAACTTTGGTTTAATCTGATCATTTTAAAATAGAAGAAAAACATATGTCAAATGCCTCTATCATAGAGAAACATTCCATTCAAATTTCCATCTTCCGCCTGCGTCTGTACAGTCGACGTAACGAACAGAACAAACGAAGAACGAACACCCCTTGAATAGGAAAGCCAAAAAATAAAAAAAATAAATAACAAAGTCTTATGTACGACGACGCACATACACAGAGAAAAATATGTCCGACATCAGCAGACAGATAGACTGACAGACATCTTGATAGACACCTTTTAATGTTAAAAATGTTACATTTATTTGACTGATTACTTTCACTTTCATTTTCATATTTTAATTTTTGTTCATTTTTGAATCACTGGTTTCTGTTCTTCGTCTTTTAATTTCTTTATTTCATTTCTTCAACTTTAATTTTCTTCGCTCTTTGTTGCCATCGAAATAAACATGAAAAAATACGAAAATATCAGTGGTTGAAGTGGAGATTTGCATTAAGACAGGAACGAAATTAAAACGAATAGCGTTTTTTTTTTTTTCCTTTTTTTTTTCTACTCTCCACAGACGGACCGAGAGAACTTACGTTGACAATGACAATGAAGAGTAGAATTCGTAAATTTGTCCTAGATTCAGTTTCGAAGAAAATTATAGTGATTTGAAATAGAAAATAGAATGTATATCTGGAACAAAAAGAATAAAAAAACAGACATATCTTAAAACATTAAAAGACGATATCTTGAAACATTAAAAAAGATATAAATATCTTAAAACATTAGAAAAATATATATACGTATCTTGAAACATTAAAAAGCAAACAGAAATAGCTTAAAAATTTGCGATGTTCTGAGAAAATATTGTTTATAATAATGAGAAGTTATAAAGAGATTTTCGGGTAAATTAACTCATTTTTTTGTGTTGGTCTATGTGTATGTTTTTTCTACAATTTTTCCGGTAGATCCATTCTATAACCTTCTAATGCTTATTTTGCGTTACCCTATATAAAGATGAGTCTCTCTTTATATGGGTAATAAAAAAAATGAAAGCTAGAATAGTAAAAATATAAAAGCACCTGGAGCACTAAAACCTGATGTTTCTTCAGTATTGACCAAGGTAAAGAAAAACAATAAAACAGCGCTAAGTGAAGATGTCAGTTTTAGACGATTTTACATTGAAAAGCTTACCGAATTGATAAATACAATATACGACAGCGGTGAAATATCGGAGGATCACAATTGAGGAATATTCATAATGCTACCAAAGAAACCAAGAGCAAATGAATGCGAACTCCGTCTTAAAAAAAGACCTGATAAAATCACATAAATAAAATAATCTTTCTAATGAAGAGACTTCGTAGAAAAAGTAGGAAATAGCTAAGTATGGCTTTGCTCAAAATACTGGAAGAAGGTTCTATGATCAAAATAATACCAGAGCGTTCATTAATATAGTTAGAATTATACTTGTTTCAGAGTTTACATAAAAACATTTGATGCAACACAGAACTCTATCAAAAATATGTCAAGAACAGTCGCTTTCTTCAATATTCTGTAACAAGAAATGCTAGTTTCTGAACAAAATATTATAGCGTTCATTACGGATTTAGTTAATCCGATGTCTGTTCATGGATTATATAAAAGCATTCGGTGATCTACGAAGAATTAGACGAGAAACAGGGCAAGGGCTGTGTAGCATTCTTCATACCACGGGAACAGGAAGTAGGATTTTTAGGATCTACATGCTATCAAAGGGATGAATGCTATGAAATATTGAAAGACTATACCTGTTTCATATATTAGATTGTTAACGTATATTCGTTCGTTTTTTATCATTTATTTTAATACTTATT